AGTACTCGTCCGACGTTTCCCTGCAGGATGTGCAGTGGACATCGGCCCAGGATCAGGACGAGGGTGAGGCTGATTGATGCGGGGCTGTCCCCGCCCAGACCCTCTGAAGGATCCAAAAAATGGAACCACTAATAACCCCTTAGTTTCCCCAATGAAGCAATGGGTTCATATATGGGTGGGGGTTCCATTTTTTGGATCCTTTAGGGGGTCTGGGCAGACAGTGTCCACGTTTGGGAGCCTTTATAGGGATTTATAGGGATTATATATCGATATATCGGAGTGTATACCAAGACCCTCCTAGTACCCCGCATGGGGGATATAAGGCCCCCAATACAGGGTACCTAGGCCCTCATAAAGGGTAGGTGGAGAAGCGAGGTAGGTAGGCTTTAGGGATTGGGGTCTATATTTTTCTTGTGAGTCCGATCTCGAACAGAACTATCTTGGGTGAGTGAAGAATTGGGCGGCTAGAATGCTTCTAGCAGACGCTAGTGAAGTATGTTTTGTTTCCTGAGGCATTATTAAGCTACTGCGATTATATATAATTGTGTGTGTTGCTATGGATTATTCTTGTAACTTCTAATTGCCCTTCGTATCATGATAATTCTGATTGCTACGAGTACTGTTCCCAGAAGGGACAGAGAGGTCTCAATGTGGAACTCGGCTCTTGCCAGCGCATCCACCAAGTTTTGAGAAACCTGAAATTACTTCAGTATGCATTGGGATACTCACTTTGATGCAAGATGACCCCACACAATGAATGCAGGCACCCTCGCCGCTGGACTGCCCGTTGTCAGAACAGTGAAGCTTTGTTCAGAACATCCAAACCCCAAACCCTACACCCACATTCTAGAACCTAAACCCTGTATGCCCCTAACCCTAAACCCTAAACCCCTAAACCCTAAACCCTATATGCCCCTAACCCTAAACCCTACAACCGCAGCCGCGCACCCGAACTACAACTTGCAGGTGCTTAGTCGGAAGTGATTCCCTAATCGTGGTAGAATCTCCATGAAAATTCCCCAGTTTGATCCCCGCGAAATGTTCTGCTCCATCCCCATCTACAGCCCTATGACAGCATCTGTAGTTACAACTCCCTTAAACCCCAAACCCCAAACCGAAAATCGCAACTCCCAAGCCCTAAACCCCAAGCTTTCAACCCTAGAGCAGTAAGCAACCCTTGCTCCAGAAGGCGGACGAGCCGTGCTGCAAAGAGGCCAGTTGAGGAGTGCTTCAAATAGCCGAGCTACACTTAGGATTGCAGGTTTAGGGTTTAGGGTTGTGGGTTTAGGATTTAAGGTTTAGGGTTTACTGTAGACCCCTAATTCATAAACCCCCACCCCTTAACGGAGATTATACTAGGGATCCTCATATTCAGGCCCTCAAAAGGAGGGGGTTGATTACTTAGGTGTCTACGTTAGGGCTTAGGAATAAGGGTTTAGGGCTTAGGGTAAACCTTAAACCCTAAACCGCGTGTAGAGGGTCCAGGCCGGAGATTTTCACGGGGGTTTTGAGCGAGTCTCCGCTTTAACTTTTGACTTATGCAGTTCGAATTTATCTGGGCCTGAGGTTTTGGGATTTAGGTTTTGCCCTATTCAATTGGAATCTATCTGGGCTTGAGGGTTTAGGATTTAGGGTTTAGAGTTTTGAATTTCAGGTTTGGGGTTTAGGGGCACCATCGTCCCCATGACAGAGTAAGGTCACACTTTGTCCTTCGGCTTTGGTGCTTTATGAGAAGAACGCGGAGCAAACCAAAAACGTGCCTCACCTGAGCTAAGGTAGTTATGAGGGAGTTCAAGCCCTAAACCCTGAATCTTAAACCGTCTTTCAGGGACTCCCACATCCCTGTATGTCCTCAGGGACCCCACAGTGTGCTACTCAACTTCTTGCACCGAAGACCAGTAGCGACGGCATCTGGGACTGATTCCTTATAGCATGCCAGTAGTTAACGTGGTTTAGGGTTTCAGTTTAGGGTTTACGGTCTAGAATTCCCGTAGAAATCCTCTTACAGTCATTCGCACGACTCTCCCTCAAACACCAGTACGTCCTTCCAAACTGATCGTCCAGAACTCCAAAGCCAAACAGTCTGAACGACAAAGCTTAGGTGAGGCCCGCGCACAGTCACAGTTGTACAGTAGGATTCTATAGGGACCCTACTCTCATCCGCTTGTGGTCACATGTTAAGGGTGGGTGCACCCCTAAACCTTAAACGATCTTAAAACCCAAGCCCTGAGCCTGAATTCCTACGCGCTAAGTCCTAATGCTCAACCCTAAGTCCTAAACCCTAAACCCAAGGCCTCGCCCTAAAGCCTCGACCCTAAACCCTCAACACTTAAAACCTTAAATCCCAAACCCTAAGCCCTCAGCCCTAAGCCCTAAAAACCTTCAATCCCAAACCTTGAGCCCTCAACCCTAAACCTTAAAACCTTAAATCCCAAACCTTAAGCCCTAAACCCTCAACCCCAAAAACCCTAAATCCCAAACCCTCAACCCTAAAAGCCCTAAGCCTGAAGGCCCCCGAGGCGGAGGCACTCCGCCGACGCAGCGCTGGGGCAGCGCCAGAGTGAGCTCTCAGGTCTGCTTTGGGGTTCCCTTAAAGGGGGGTTACATAGGGGTTCTACAGGGGGATTCAGGATTTAGGATCTAGGGTTCAGTATTTAGGGTTTAGGATTTAGGGTTTGGGGTTTTTGATTCAAGGTTTAGGATTTAGGGCTTAGGGCGGGTTCAGGCCATTTGCCCAACTGAGGACTCCCTCTCCGTAACCCTAGCCTGGCATTGGGCGCAGCAAGGACTATAAAAGTTGGTGAGTCGCAACAGAGTGTAGTCTTCGAGCTTAAGCACGAAACCTGGAGCCCGAAATCGAAGCCCTACGACGGCCCTAAACCCTGGATCCTACGCAGATTTCATGCTGGGCAGGTACGCAGCTTTCCGGAACTACAGCTTCCGCACTGCGGTGATCGCCGGCTTTGAGGATAAGGGCCCAGCCCTTCAGGAAGGACGCAGTGGAGGTATTGGAGAAGAGGGGCTGGAGGGTCGTGCAGAGGCGCCTTGGCAAGTTCACTACCTTTTCTATGTGGTGGTTAGCAAGTAATGGAGGAATGGATCCCCCTAGTAGTGTGCATATGCTCATTGGCTCCAATCCTGTTATCCTATCCTACCTTCCCTACTAAACACCAGTAAGGGGAGTGGGGGAGTGAATCTAAACATTTCTTGGAACAAATAACTGTTAGGGATTACATGATGAGGATTCTAGAGATTCACTGCCCCCTGCACTTGCATATCCTGCTATCAGGTCCTCTACTCTCGCTCGGGCATGCAAGCAGCAGCAGGTGGTCATGGAGTTATGACGGGCTCGCTGGTGCATGGTGCGCACTCACGCGGAGAGCGTCTCACCGCTTGAAGACGGGTAAGGGCTTGGGTCTTATGGGGAGAAGAACCTCCGTCATCTTGGTCCAGGTAGAAAAACCCAAGTCATAACTAGGTTATGCTCCGGAGCCTTCAATAATTGCTAGTACCGATAGCGCCGGCGTTTCGTAATATGTCTACCAATCTCTTGTTAGCGTCCGGACAAGGTGTCTCGCCAGCAATGATACTGACCCAAGTGCCAACATACGGGCGCTATTATAGTTCCCCCTAAGTAGATAGAATATGGGGTATATGGGGATCTTCTTGCCATGTACCCAAAGCCATATTCTATGTAC